AGAGGATTTTCTTTTTTACTGTAAATTCTAGTTAATGTTATTGCTTTGGAGAGTGGTAAAAAGGTGCACAGAGTGGTAAAAAAGTTAATCAAATGCTGGGTAATATTTTCAATAGCGGAAATAGTACATTAAAAAACAGAAAGCAGCAGGTATCCTGTGATTGTTTCGGAGCAGCTCAAGCCATTTCTCATCGCGCTGTGGCCGCTGCAGGAATGATACGGAAAGAACAGTAACGCAAACCAGTGCCGCGCTAGTAAAGTTTTGATGGATGGCGATAGTAATCAAGGTAAAGACGATTAGGGTGACATACAGGAGTCGTGCATTGCAGGAGCATGTTATTAATGAAACAAACCTTGTGCAAACTGATCACTTTTGCATCAATACGATTTGCATGAACACGTTTCAATATATTGGTGAAAATTCATGTCCTGCGAGTGTTTTATAATGGATGCTGACTGAAGAATCATGTTTTAGAGTATGTGAGGGTCAGTGGTTTACTGATTCTGAATGGATCCGTTTCAGGTCAAGGCAGCTGGTTTAGCGGCGTTCTGGTATCGCAGCTCGACTTGTGCTTATTTATTTAAAAAATGCTCTAAACAAATGTATTACTTTCACTATTTTTGTAGTTGCACTGTGTGCATACATTTTGAATTATGAAAAGAAAAATGTTTTTATACTATTTAAAATAACTATTGAAGTTTTTTTTACTAATTAAAAGTGAAACCTTCGGCGGTGGAGGGGTGGGGAGGTCCACTGTCTTTGACATTTGCACAAAAAATGTGATCGCATTTGTACTTTTATTTAAGGCTTTTTTCCCACTTTACTGCACTTGTGGTGTTCCCAATCAAAAATGACCAGCCTTTTTAAAATAGCTTATAAATCTCTCTGGGTATGCTGTATTATTATCAAATACTGGATTTAATCTTTTTGTCAACTTGTGAGTTAGCACAGGTTTTGTTTCTTTTTGTAGCTGATTGATTGTAGGCCTCTTCTGAGTTTATGCCCTGACGTCTATCTGACGTCTGCAAGACGTATTTTTAGAGTGTTTGCTCATCTGCAATACGTCTATTGGACGCTTCCTATCAGATGTCAAATAGACGTTTAGAAGATGTCTTTAAGATGTTTATGATTTAGAATGCATGTAAAACTGACATCTTAAAGACGTCTGTCAGATGTTTGAACACAGCAGATGCTTTCCAGATGAAGAGATCTTTAACAGACCTCTTGAAGACGTGCTATCTCGGTTTTTGAGTGAATATTGTCCAAATTATCCGCTAAAATGCTTGAGATGCATAAACTCAGATCAATCCGTTTCAAGAAGAAACACAAAACCTGTGCTAACTGAAAGAAAACACATGCAAACAGATTGACTCCAATATTTGTTTATAATACAGATTTACAAGCAATATTTAAAAGGCTGGACATTTTAGAACAGGAACATCAAATCAGGCGAGTTAACAAAACGTCAGAGAGTTTATTCAGCTTAGACAGAAAAGAACGGTCTCCGACACGGACTCGCGTCTGGTCTGTAGTAACACGTGCGTCTGGAGATCTCTCAGGCGTGATTAATGACCGCGAGCCAGTACAGCTTCAGGAAAGTAGAGCAGAAACTTTGTGAAAAATGGGTTTGCAAATATTTTTCTCTCTGCTCTAAAGTTATTGTCTCAGGCTTGTTGGCGAGAGGAGGGAGGGAAGCTTTCAAACTGGAGCAAAAGCTGAAGTTCTGAACCTCCGCGCGTTTGATTTTGGGCAAGGTTTGGCCCTCGAAAAGGGAATTCAAAATAACAAGGCCTGCATCCTCCACAGACATGTGTGTGAAAATCTGTCCATTGTCTGGAAGAGAGCGCGGGGGTGTGCGTACGCAGAGAGAGAGAGAGAGAGAGAGAGAGAGAGAGAGAGAGAGTGTTCACACACAGATTATTAAAATTATTTTATAACCTTTGCTGAGTACGGAGTACCATCAGTACAGTAAAACAGTGTCTTTTTAACTGTGGTATTTTTAAGTCCCAGGGTTTGATTTTTATAAAAAATAAAAAAAAATAAAAAAAAAAGGTATTTAAAGATCAATTAAAACGAACATCCTTTGTTATCATTTCTTGCTGATCATGTTATTGATTTTTACTTGTCATAGACCCAGACTTCAGTTTGAAACTTTTAAAGTTAATTCGATATGATTAAAGAACTATGAAATGAAATTAAAATGATAAAATTCATTATTACTAATAATTACATTTAAAGAATTCTAAAGAAAGAGTTCTGCACTTGTGTTAAACAAACTGTAATTGTGTTAAATTATGCTAAATATATTAAAATTGTTTCATTTTCTTTATTATTATTTTGGATTAAACAAATTCTATCCATTAAAATCTGTCCGTTGTCTGGAAGAGAGCGCGGGGGTGTGCGTACGCAGAGAGAGAGAGAGAGAGTGTTGAAAATCAGAACTTCGAAAGAAGGATGAATTTATAAATAATATGAAGGAACAACTTCTTCACGTTTCATCGTCCAAAGCATCTCACGCTAAACACCTGAGCTGTCTAGAGACCCCCACTGACAATCAGCAATCCAGAGAGCGAGAGAGAGAGAGAGGGAGAGAGAGAGAGAGAGAGAGAGGACGTGCTGAGCGTCGCCATGGCAACAGGAGCTTCACAGCCGCATCTCTGTTTATGGAAACGCTACGCGAGCAGACAGCGATCAAGCTGCGAACGCTCTCCCACGGCACCGAACACACAGCCTCAAGCTGTCTCTCGCTCGCAGCCGCAGAGAAAAGCAGCGATCGCGCTGAGAAAGTGCTGGAGAGAACGTTTTCCAGCTGCTCAAACAACGACAAGGTCATGGGTTCGAATCCCACAGCATGCACGAACTGAGACAGAAATGTGTACACACTCAGAATAATATTTAGGCCTAAGTAACAGCTTTATTTGAATTGCATATAACATTTTCATGCATATGGAACATGCAGTTTTACCATGAACTAATAATATGATCCATATTTGTCAGTCATCCATAAATGAGACAGGTCAGATCTTCAGCGTAATTTTAGGATCACTGAGCTACTGTTAAACTATGAAATGTTGCCTTGGCAACTAGCTGAAATAACAAAAACATACTTATTTTATTTCAGTTTAATTCACGTAACAAAAACACAGCGTGTTTGATTTCACTTAAATCATATTTTCAGTGCATAATCAGCATTAATTTATTTTACTTAAAGCATGAACATGGTTAAAATATGACTAGCTGTGGAACAAGCAATATTTAATTTGTTAAAATGCATGAGATGGAGTGGTTTTATTGATGATAAATATATGAATATATAACCTGGTTATTGATGATTTAAAACACATTCATTACTCATTATTTATTTGTTTATTAGTACTACAACAGAAATCTTGATTGACTGATAAATAATGCATTTATTAGCCCGTTTATATTAAAACCGTGGAATTCAAATGGAGTTTATATGCATTTCAAATACATAAATCTGAGTGCACCTTATTTTGAAACAGAAGAAAGTTATTTTATAAATAAATAAAGTAGGTAAAGTGTATAAATAAAGTGCTGCAAACTCTATACTAGTGTTTATAATTATGACAATACGATATACTAACAAGATAAGAAATACCATTTTGCAATAATGCAACATTTACATTTGTCATATGCTTTTATCCAAAAACATTTGTTCAGTTATGGCTTTTTTCCTTGGGATTGGAACCCATGACCTCGGGGTTGCTAACACCACGATCTTCAGTTTGAGCTACAGAAAGCATAACAAGCTGTTTTGTACTTATAATAAAAAAAGAGCTGGACAAATTGAATGTGATGCAAGTTGCTTTGGATGAAAGCATCTGCCCAATGCATAAATATAAATGTAAAGTTCTGAGGGTCGTAAGACATCATTATCTTCATCAGCTGAATCTGATCTGAAGCAGAAGTTTCTCAAACTGTATTAACCCATGGTATTAACGCTCTAACGTCAGTGTCGTTTACAGCCCTGAATGCAATTAAAGCACCGCGAGCAGCACAAAGCGCTAATGAGGCAATGATCATGAAACGACAACAAGTTTGGCTAGAGAGCCTAATTATGTTCAGACATTTTATTTTCATCAAGTCTGAATTGGAAATTCTTACATTGGCTTGACATTTAGATCCTGGTCAGACGCATGAGATCGACACAAGTTGATTATTAATAGCACTTCATTCTACACAGACTGACAATAAATCATCAGACAGACGTCTACATTAATGCCATTAGCAGAAAACCACTGACGCGCGAGCAGAAGCACAATCAGAGCGATTTCACCTCTGATGGGAACACAAACCGATATCATGAAGCTGAATGTCGCCTGACATCGATCCGGACTTTACTCTCTGCTGCTAGTCGATGCGTAACGTGAGTGTGTGTGTGAGGGAGTGTGTGAGCGTGTGAGTGTGTGTGTGAGCGTGAGCGTGTGCGTGAGTGCGTGTGTGTGTGTGTGTATGTGTGTGCGTGTGAGTGTGTGTGTGAGGGAGTGTGTGAGCGTGTGAGTGTGAGCGTGTGTGTTTGTGTGTGTGAGCGAGTGTGAGCGTGTGTGTTTGTGTGTGTGAGCGTGTGTTTGTGTGTGTGTGTGTGAGCGAGTGTGTGTGTGTGAGTGCGTGTGTGTATGTGAGTGTGAGTGCGTGTATGTGTGTGTGTGTGTGTGTGTGAGTGCGTGTGTGTGTGTGTGTGTGTGAGTATGTGTGTTTGTGAGTAAGTGTGTGTGTGTGTGTGTGTGTGAGAGAGAGTGTGTGTGTGCGTGTGAGTGTGTGTGTGAGCGTGAGTGTGTGTGTGTCTCATCAAGCACACAGTAGGGGAACTGATATTATTAGCATGTGTGAAACCCAACAGATATAAAACCATTTTAGAGCTGATGAGACCCTCAGAGCGCTGATCCAGAAACCATTTCCCGTGATTACATGTGAAGCGTTTTGACTCTATAAGAACACGCGTGCAGCAGGACACTCATTGGCGTTATTTCCTGAAACCTGCGCTGGTCGATCCGCTCAGAAGAAGGAGGTGTCGGAGGAAAAGGCGCCGGCGAGCCTGAACTCGTCCCGCAGGAGCACGCAGAAGAGCCGCTGCGGCAGGGCTTTGGAGTACGGCGCGGGCCGTGGCACACAGGTGCGCAGCAGAACCTCCCGTCCAGCAGGGGGCGGAAAATCCGGAACCGTTTTCCTGTCATCCGTCCCTCCAGAACGACCCGCCTCGTCCTCCAGCGGCGCCAGCAGAGCGGCCTGAACACATCGGCACACAACACACATCAGTCACGCTCTGACTTCATATCAGCTGAGCTGACAACGTTACATAAACGTATTCGACAAACGCTCAAATGAGTGTGTAGAGACTGCAAATTGACACAATCTATTTTTTTCTGTGCAGGAACAAATTCCACTAATTGCGAAGCTGATTGCAAATTAGCAGATGCCGGAACTGAGATATAAAACATGTTCTGGATTCAGATCAACCTGCAGCGTCTGTGACGACCAAAACCCCTTCATGAGCACAGAAACGCTCGCTTCTGAGGGTTTTCAATTCAATTCAAGTTTATTTGTATAGCGCTTTTCACCATGCAAATCGTTGCCAAGCAGCTTTACAGAAAATTTAAGTTTCTACATTACATTTAATAGTATATAGGGTAAATATTTATTATATTTAGATTTGCTTGTGTGCACTCACACAATGAGGTCGTGTTGGCAGAAGTAGCACTACTTCAGTACCAAATCCACACTTACATTTTAAAAACGTGACGATCCTAGACTTTCAGTACCGGTGATACCGGGCCGATCCGGCACAGTTGATCGGCGGCTGCTTTCAAACGCTCCTGTATTTGTGTCTGAAGGTTTCTATCTACAACGTGTTTTTGCAGCATTGCAGCCAATCACAGATGTGCTTGATGAGCACGTGAAAGCAACGGCCAATCAGAGGCGTTCGAGTCAGAATCCGCTCGATGCGCTAGAGTTTGTTCAGCGTGAGCTCTGCGCGCTCGCAAATCGTATAAACATGATGTAAATAATGGATTAATTGTGCTGTATAGACAGATTGAATGACTATAACGGGAGTTTTGAGCTTGAGCTGCATCTGAACTGAACTCATATAGGAGCGTCTTTGCTCACTTTCTGATAAATTGAATAAAAGTTTTATTTTTCAAGCTACTTAAGCACAGACTGCAAAGTTTCGGAAGCGACGACCAAATGAAAACTGAATCTGAAATAGCGATATTTGACACTGTGATAATCACAACAGACAAAAACAGCCTGATATGTCAACACCGCTCCATGTTTAAGTGCAACAGATCCGACACTTATTCTGTTACCAGTGATGTGTTTGTTACTTTATTACAAATTTTTCATTTGATAATTTTAATGCAATATTTACTTAATTGAAGGATACATAGTAATGTTTTACATTTTTTAGAATTATTAATAGCTTTAATAATGAACACATTTTATTTTATAAATAGTTAAATAAAAACAGTTACAATAGTTTTTTCTTTGGTGCTGAAATTGATAGCGAGAACCATGAAATTTGACAGGTATTGGTACAGACTACAGAAATTACTCTCACAAACGGATCTGGTTCTGAACCCAGAACACAAACATGAGACTAACTACAGCAGAACATCACTGTCTATCTCTACAGAACCAACCTCCAGGTCCATCAGGAAGCCCTGCCACACCAATCAACCAAACACCAGAGTGCAGATCAGAAAACAGCGATTAGCGCTCAGATAACAGATAACAGAGATGATTCTACACACTGATCCGCACTGAAGTACATCATCATGGTGTCAGATGCTAGATTTTACCTCGTCGCTGGAGTCGGCCAACTTCACAAGAGTGACAGACAAGCGGTGTTAGGAGAGAACAAACAAACAAACAAACAAAAATGAAGAAAACACAGGGCCAGATAAGAGCATCTGTAAACGTTCAGTGTGTCGCATGCTTTAGATCGAGCCGCGAGGAATGAATCTCACAAACACATTTCACACAAAAATCAGAAACATGCATAAAGAAAAAGCCTTTTAAAAAAAATTTGTAGCAGTATTTTAATGACAACTAAACATTTTTCGTAGTGACTATAATCTTGAAAGGTGCAAAAAATATACTGAACTGAATCAACACTGATCTGAATAATGACTTCTTTAGAGCTGCTGTGCAGCAGAATATGAGTTTGTCTCATATTTGATGAAGTCTGCATCACTGATTCTGTTATTTTCTGTTTATGATGGTGAAGCTGCTCTGAAATTATCTGTACTGGATAATAAAGCACTACAGAAATAAATGTGACTTGAATTTAAATTGTACAGTATTTATACATAACAGTACAGCTACTGCTTTTAACAAATGACTTGCATTAATTTGGGAGTGGAAATGTGCTTAATTATCATGACAATAAATGTTACAATAATACTAATGGTTCTATAAGCTTGAACTTATTTAAGCATCCTATGACATCTTAATTTTTTCTGTTTTGGTTTTGGGTTGAAATCCAAGTGTGAGATTCATCCTTAAAGAGGAAACAGTAACAATGTGCGAAACAATAAGGTTCTTCAGTATAATGTTCATTCTGAAGGTTAAAGAAACAGAACATTATTATTTGATGAATCTGATTGATCATTGGTGCAGTCATGCTTTGGATGTGTCCGGGTCACGGCACCACTTGTTCTGTTCTTCAGAGTCACACTGAAAACATCCAAAACATGATCAATCAGAGCAAACACGATCAATGCAAGCACATTCCCACAAACACATGCAACAAAAGCAGCCACTGTGAGTCTGTCTCTCTCTCATTTCTCTTTCTTCCAGGAAGTCTCACCTCATTTGAATCCCTGATTTCACATGCTTTACATGGGGATGCTTGGGATAATTATTGCCTTTCTATTTGCAGCCTGGCAACACAGGCTATAATTTAGTCCTCACACACGCAGACGGTAATTGAGGAAGATTTCCAGGCAAACAAACTCCATTTCAAACAGTTCTCACTTAAAGCAAACTTGTGAGCACGGATCTCGTTCGTGAGCATCTGAAGCTCAAGCCAAGCACCGCAGCGCTGACATTTCAACGCTCATATCGCATTTTCAGCCTGTTTAACTGTAAATAGCTGAGAATTGCAATTTACACTGGGGCCATTAAGCACAAGTGCATCCTGGGAATGATGGTGATACACATAGAAGAGACTAATACTAACAGGGTAAATTAATGAGGTTTCCAGTGACTCATGGGTCAATCTTACGGAAAAACATTCAGATTGATTCATCTCAAAATCAAAAGAAAAAACATTGCATTAAATTAAGCATAAAAATGCAGCTCTGCTGACATTCTCTGTGAATTCCAGGTCAGATTTTGCAGTGAAATCAATTGAAATCTATCAATCTGATCTGGAAAGTTCTCTATGAGATTGACCAGCTACTAGTTAGCACACTGATGAGTGGTCAGGTACTAGTTCCACTAACTAAAACCCTAAGTAACTCAAACACAAGCCGTTCATCAAACATGCTGTTTAACCGTCAGACTCCAAACGAGCGAAATCACTCGCCGGCATGTTTAATTACCTCTGTGTCACATTAAAGCTCTAAATGAAACTAAGACATCTGCCGCATTTCATTAATTTAGCTAATTATGACAAACGGCAAAAACAGCTCCAGCAGATTTTTAAATGTATTTTTAAAGCTGTGGCTCGTCCTGCTATTAAAGTCGTCATGATGCGCTTCAACGCGTTCGGCAGCGTCTCGGTTAATCTGGTTAATTTTTGGAAAAAATAAAGTATTAAAATGATTAAGGTCTTTAACGCAGCGTCCGGTCCAGACATGTCTGTCATCTTACACTGATGAACATGATGCAGGACGACTGACTGCAGAATGCAGTTATATGAGCCTAAAGATTCACGATATGAGCACAAAAAATAAATCACCCTCTAATATTTATATTATATGATATAGTTTAGTGATATCACACCAGCTAGAGTGCTGCTTTCCCCCAATATCTGCACGACTGCAAATCAGATTCATTTATACAACAGTTCAATAAACAAGTTCATATTGTGTTACATTTTGGACACAATATTGTCTTTTTTGATCAATTTCACAAATGAAAATAGTTCAATCAAAGCCACAGCAGAACTGTTGAGCATCTCTGATCAACACACAGCAGTGATTCATTACTGAATGAATCCACGATTTTGAACGAATCGAGTGAGTCAATGATTCATAAAGACAGCCACTTGCTTTGTTTCTGAATGAATCAGCTGTTTGAATGAATCGGTTGAAAAAATGTGTGTGTTTGTGTGTGTGTGAGAGTGTGTGTGTGTGTGTGTGAGTGAGTGTGAGTGTGTGTGTGTGTTGGTTTACCCGCTGAGAGCTGACGAACAGCTTATGAATGATGTTTCCAGCAGGTCCTCGTCCGGCTCCAACCACAGAAACCTCGGGCTCCTCCAGCAAACAGCTGACAAACCTGACAGACGACAGACAGGAACAGCGTTAGAACACGAGACTGAGCGTCACAGGAAGAGCATGCAGGAGAGTTTAGATGAAGAAAGAGGATTGTTTATCATGTTCATATTCGTCATACTGAGAAATGAAACGGGAAATGCAGCCTGCTCAACACACTCTCTCACACACACACACACACACATAC